AATTTTTTTGTTATATATATATATATATACTGCATAATGTGAGGCATTATGTATAACTGTAAAAATATATTGTTAAAATAAAAAATAAAGATAATTTTACGGCTATGTAAGAAAATAAAAATAATTTAAAATGCCAAAAGTATAAAACTTGATATTGAAGATTATTTAGTTACATGGTACCAAGGTGATATTCTAAAAACTTTCATCAGAATATATTTATTATATGCCTTATTTATTTAATGTATTGTAATTTTTTAACAGATAAAATATTTATTAAGTAAATGGAAACTATTATATTAAATGAGGAAAAAATAACAATTACAAAATGAGTAAGTTAACTTATAAGCAAAGTATACTAATAGACTAGATTAGAGTGTAATTTAGATCAGTTATATTAAAATATTAACTGTTGTTGTCTTTACACATAAATTACAATACCCATGTCAAATTAATTTCTATTGTTAATAATAACAATAGAAATTAATTTTACATGTAATTTTTAACAGTTCAAAATTAATTCATTTTCTAGTAATAAATAAATAATATTGATTTCTACCTCAGTTTCATTATGTTATAAATATTTCAATAATAAAATAATTATTCATCTTATTAATGAAATATATTTCATGAAATTACGCCCTCTTGAGAAAGTTTAATTTATATATATTTTTTTAAATTGAAATATTACTGTATATGCTGATATATTGTAGTTACTTTGCAAACCTGAATAATTTAAAGCAATATTCAATTTTTATATTTTAAATTACAAGTAATCGCTCGTCTTATATATAAATAAATTATTTATTGTTAAATTTGGTAGAAAATCAAATGTACTATTTATCAAATCAATTTAAATGTTCGGTTTCTTCATCGAAACATTATTATAATTTATAATTTTCACTAATAACAAAATAGTATCCATATCGTGTGTTTTTAAACTCACTCCGCCCAGTGAGCACTATGAGGATTTTTTAACAAACTCAAAAAAGTTTAGGTTTAACCAGTTCCACCATAGAGCTACCAGGTAATGAGGGACGAAGTTCAACATATGCAGACAGACTACCATCGAAAAATTTCTCGGGTTCTCAATCATATCGTGTTTAAGAAACGAAGATTATATATACTTTTATGATAACAATCAGCCTGAATTAAAATAGTGCAGTTAATATATATCTGTTATTTCGTGAATGAATAGTTACTTATTTCATCTTTGTAAATGTATACATAATTCATTCAAATGTTTTACCTTTCCGTGCTTCTTCATCTTCTTCAAAAATCATCTTTACAACAAAAAAAGTGAAATAAAAAATTACATAAATAATGAAACACTTTTGATCGTTTTGCAAATGTGATTAAAATATTATATTAGTCACCTTAACGTCAGATCACTTTCTATTCGGTAAATAAACATTATAGTACAACGAGAAGAAATGTCATTATTATATCATTAACATCATATCAACACAATGCTATATTATATATACTATTCTGCTATACCTGTAAGATCTTGATGTTATTGAGAAAATATAACAGTTGAAGCTCATCAATTCTGTCCTATACTATAGCTATAAAGTAATTTAAATTTAAAGTTTCGATAAAAATGAGATTGCATTACATTGTGCAGTCCTGAAAGTTTAGAAACTTCATTGTAATCATGAATAAAATCAGAAACATACCAGAGGAAAAAATACTATTTTTAATTAAATATACGATCCATTGACATACATACAGTACGAAAATTTTAGCGCGGTCATTCAATTTTCTGAGAACTGCAGAAAATCCCTCTTTTCCAATTGATTTTAATTCGTTGGTCAGTTTTTTGAATGGTGGGAATAGCCAACGTGGGGAAATATAATAGTCCGAAGGGGGCAAATCTAGTGATAAGCGAAGTAATAAATGATTAGGATTCATGTTTTTGTCAAAAGTTGACTTTCACTTGCAACTTTGTAAACGGACACGCTATCGTGCAGTACAAAAAGTCTTACGATATCTCTTTAAATAATTCCCCTTCACTCTTCTTTCTTCTAGTACGAATTCTTCGTGAATTACGCCTTATAAGTAAAAAATGACCAACATCGTTTTGATGCGTGACCAGAACAAAAGAATTTCAGTCCTTTGTTCTAAGAGATGTTTCATCAATCCATTTAGAAATCTATTATTTACTTTCGAGATTGTAAACGTAACACTAAGTCATATCTCCCTTAAAAGTCTGCCTAAGAATTTTTCTCTGCATCCGTCATTGTGATGATATCCTCACAAAATGTGAATCGATCTTCTCTTTGCTCAGCTGTTAAGGCAATGTGGAACAAAATGATCACGCATCTTATTCTTTCTCAAATCTTCACTCAAAACATGGGGAACAATGGTTTTGGGGATGTTCAAAGTCTCAGCTATCATTCATAACGTTATTTGAGAATCGGATCTTTAGCATCTTAGCAACGGCATCAACGTTTTCTTGTATTCGAGACGATTCATAGGTCACGTTTCTCTTCGTCTTCTACAGATTCCATTCCATCATGAAACCGCAAATACCACTTGAAGACGTTAGACCAGTTGAGATCCTCAATATAATAAGTTTTTTGTGCAGGTTACAAGGTATATGTAGCGAAAAGCAAAAACTTCCGATTTAAAACAAAATTTAATCGTAATTCTTTTCTCGCCTTTGTAATTCATGATGTGGCAACAGAAACAAGTTTACACGAGATCATTAGTGTCGAACCTACGTTATACGTGCTCAAAGTGGCACGTCGCATAAATCATCTGTAACTTATCATACGATTTCAGTTTATCACCCTGTGTTTTTCAATCAGCTTCTTTCCATTTATTATAATTAAAGCATATTCATTTCATTTCTTTGAATATCGGATATCCGACATCTAAAACTTCGACAGGCATAAACATTTTTAATGTTTATGCCTGTCGAAGGCGTTTTAATGTTTATGACCATGTTATTAGTCTCACTGCTAAACGTACGCCTAACGATACACTGCGTGTAAACAATAGTTGATAGTTGTTACTACTGTATTTAATTAAGTAGCACCTTAGCCAATACGTCACTACACCTCTGTCCTGTCAAAAAGTTAAATCTTTATACTTGGACCATACTGAGTATAACTGTTTTTAACTACTGTTATTTTAAAATAATTATATCGTAGATTATTAATTAATATAGTATTTCTTTGTAGTTTATTTTTNGTGTTACATTTCACAGACAGGCGAAACAAAGGAAAATAAAATTTAAAGCTTTTTCTTCAAAATAAACGCATTTCTTTCGTTTTTTTTCTGTTTTAAGTATTTTTTACGTTTAATTGAAATCTATATAAAAAATGTCAATGTCCTTAAGTCGTATGAGAAACAAGCGTCTAAAATTTTGGTAGTGGTTGCTGCCCTGTGATGCATAAGTACCGTACAGAGAATACAGACTTTGCGCTAATTGCCCTTTGCATTTAACTTTCTCGTAAATAAGATGCATATCAGCTAGCTTCTGCAATATGAATTTCTTCATTATGTCTAATAAACATTCACTTAGTCAACGTAATTTTAAAAAATGCCGTTGAAGACTAGTAATTAGTCGCAGGTTCGGGTCTGACCAATGGGCTGGTTACGTGAAAATTTCCGAATTTTATCCACATGTATAATACCTAAATATGGACCAGTTTTCCATAAAAGTCTTTCCGAGAGACCTCCCCACTTGGCCTATTAAGATGATAGAAATGCTTTTAACTAGTACATTTCAAATTGTGGATGAGTAAATCGTTATTCAGAAGAAATAATATTAATATTATAAAAGAAAACGTTAAGTGATTTATTATAACATTTTAAAAATGCCAAATAAAAAAAGCAATTCGAACATCTTTTTGATTTCATGAAATTATTTAATAGTCACGAAGAAACAGAAACTATATGAACAATAGTGCTTCTATTTATAAATATAATTTTATATGTTTGTTTGTATACGGCAACGCCACACTGGGAGATTTGCGGAGGGAGGATGACTCTAGGGAAGACTTTTATATATTTCTAGCAGTTGTTAGTTTTAGTAAATTGTTTATCTGTGACGGTTACGTCAATTCATTCGTCACGATCGCTCCCTTTTTATTCAAAATTTTTTTTTTACCTCTAATGTGACACGAAATAGAATTGTCTATTCTATTTCGTGTCATCACAGTTTTCAATCATATATCCTGACATGTAATTGATCGATATCCAAGGACATTAGCTACAATGAACATGAAGGGTACTGTACAGTTTAGAATATACTGTGCAAGACTGTATGCGAAAGCCTTATGTATCTAATAGTGTTGTTTTCAATTAGTATCATTTTTCCATCATTGAATTTTTAATGACAATTTAAATTTTACATTATTTAAATCTATTCTCTCGTATAAAATAATTTATATCTATGAATCGTTTGTGTGATTCTATTGCATGGCTGACTGCTTGACATAGTTTTCTGACGAATTAAAACGGCTACAGGTAGAATGTTACATTTTAGAAGCTGCAGAAGTAAAAAATCAAAGTTTATTTGCATGACTATGCAAATAAACTTTGATTTTTTCTGGAATAAATCTGGAAGTTGTTTGTAATGAAAGATCCTCTTTTTATTTCGAGAGAATTGGGATGGTAGGAAGAGAGATGCGATAAAGAAAGTGATATAAATATTCAATTATAAAAAGTTAATTTTATANCATGAAATTATTTAATAGTCACGAAGAAACAGAAACTATATGAACAATAGTGCTTCTATTTATAAATATAATTTTATATGTTTGTTTGTATACGGCAACGCCACACTGGGAGATTTGCGGAGGGAGGATGACTCTAGGGAAGACTTTTTATGGGAAATTGGTGTTATAAATGTAAAGAAAACACGTAGCTAACCTGTTGGCGAGGCACTAAACCCAGGACAAGAGTTCAGTGGTTTTTTCTACTAGGCCACTAGAGGGCATAAATATAACTTTAAATAGAATTTAAAAAAAATTAAATCAGTTGTCCATCAGATATAGAAGTACAATATTTTACTCAAAGATCGGCAGAAGTAACTAATATGCAACGGGAGTTTTTTCACAATGATCTAATGGATTAAATTTTAAAACAGTTTTAAAATATTAATAATTACGTATGGTCTAAATATAATTGTAGGTAACGAAATAATGAAAATTCGTAGACGGCTGGATGGGCCAGGCTGTTAAGGCGTCCACCGACCGCTCTGGGGAGTCGAGATCGATCCTGGAGATCGGATAACTTCACGAATTTTTCAGGTTAGTCGATTCCTGATTCGTTGTGCTAAGTCTCTCACACTCATTATGGGTTCTTACTAAGAACCCATAATGAGTGTGAAAAAGTCCTCTTAATTATCATAACACGAAAAGAATAAAAAGCTCGTTTTTATAAACTTATTGTGTAAAACAATTTTATTTGTTACACAGTAATTGAAATTCCAGGTCATATCTTTCTGGAATATACTAAATAGAGAATTTATCATAGCAAAAATAAAAATTCTCCAGTCTAGGGACCTCCCAGGAAATTTCTTAAGACTACTCGGCCGGATTCGATATCGAATTATCCAGAGGGTAGACTCACACCTTCTGCCTCTGGCATCTGGCCGAACGTAAGAATGGGTTAATAAAGTTGTAAACTATGCTGTAAAAATGCGGTTGTAAAGTATCGTATTTTTGACTCATGAAAGCCGATTATATCCAAGCATAAGTTGGCAAATCCTGAAATAAATTATCATTATTGTAATTAAACATAAATGCTATGATAAAATAATATTAAGAAAAGTTGTATTAAAAGTGGAAATGAAATTTCAGTAATGTAGTTAATCATAAAATTGTACGAAAATTAATTTGAAGACGAAGTCAGTCCGAAATTGGTAACCACCATTTATTCACTTCTTGTGTTTCAGAATACAAACAATTGACGACTTGACTTTTCTTTTTAAGCTGCTTAATCGTAAAGTTTAAAAACATTCCTTTAAAAATACATAAAAATATCCGATTAAAATTACAAGGTTAAAATTTGAACTGGCAGATCTTACACACATCTTCATTTTTCTTTCCATCCTTGCCATAAAATTGTATATATATATCTTTCTTCTTACACGTTTTTATTTTATTTTTCTATGTCTTCATTCTAAATGATTGTAAATCTTATTATTGTTTAACTTTAAATACATAACTCAACACAGCTTTCTAATAGTACAAAATATAAATTAGGGAATAAAATAAATAATTCATTTAAATTCATTTAAAATGAATATTTATTTTCCTATCGAATTATTTTTGTTTGAAATTTAGGAGGCCGTTCGAAGTTTAAAGCAATTTTTCCTATTAGAAATAATGAAAAGTCAATTAATCTATTCCCAGATCGTAAATAACGTTATTTACGATCTGGGAAATAAAGCATATATATAGTATAGCAGGAAAGAAAGTAAAACAGCGAACCTGCATAATTTAACGTGAAAATAGCACAATTAAATATTCTAATAATAAATCAAAACTCGAAAACAATAAATGAAATGTGTAAGTAGGCCTACTGTACAATAAAACGAAAATTGCATTTACTGTGCCCACTGTCGACTTCAGCATTGTACTGTACACATGGCCGCCAAATCTGCCACACGCATATCGACGTTTGAGAAACGTGAAAGCGATATTACAACTTTCTCTTAAATTTCGTTGCCTAAACAAACTCCTCGGATACCATGATTAATAGATGAAGGTTATATTGAGTTAATTTAAACAGACAGTTTTTGCTTCTTTTTACGGCCATGATTTCTTAAAATAGATGTGAATTTAATTATAACAGTAGTAAAATTTAATACGTTATTACTAATTTGGGATCGTATTCTTTATTTAGAAGCTTATTTTAAACTTTTTACTTTACCTATTATTTAAATAAAATGAAGTTGATATGTCTTCAGATAAAAAGCATGTTATACATATTATGCTTTGAGTTTTGGAAAGGACATAATGTTCTAGAAACAGTAAGATAAATTGCATCGTCGTAAAAAATTGCAATGTATACGGGGAAAATGCTCCTAAACTTCAAACATGTCAAATATGATTTAAAAAGTTTGGTTTGGATATTTTTGAAATAAAGGATATAAAACGTACGGGGAGCCTAAAATCTGTCTACGAAGAAAAACCGCAAGAAGAAATTATTAAAAAGCGACGAATAACACATAACATAACTGAACACACCAAATTAAAACGAAAAAAAAAAAAACACTGAAAACATACGATCCAACACGAGAGCGAGAGACGACTCCAGCGTACAACAAATTGTGTTTATACTTCAGTACTCACGCAGTTCGAACTTCGAAGAATCGTTCGAACTCAGAGGCGAATTTTTGTCACCTTTAGCGTTTGAACTTTAAAGCATTCAATATACTCGACATCATTCTATTTTAGTAGTGTACTTATTACTTGGCCATTTTATCAAATACACAACATTTACTTTATATTCTTTGTAAGTTTTTTTTTGCATTTACAAAAATAATCCAGCAACAAGATTTTCCTCTCACTCTCTTGACCTTTAACCAACAAAATTTAATAGCATAAATTCCCCTAATACGCAAATCTCCCTATGAAATTTCAGAAATTTTCGTCAAAAAATACGGGAGTTATCAAGCTTTAAATTGGATGTACAAAATCGTGCCACCAGACACAGACACACACTAACATCCATACATACAGAGTTACAGAGTTAAGAAAGGAATGGCTGGACTCAGAGGTATAGCCATTTAGACAATAAGAGGAAGGAAGAATGTAGAGAGAAGGTGAGTAGATGAAGATTAAAGTAAGGGAGATAGGATAGTGGGAAGGGAAGCCCATGAGGTCTTGCATCGCATTTATTGAATTAGATCAGAATACAGATACAAATACAATTACAATACAGAATTAGTAAATGTGGTACATTATAGCATATATACGCGACAATAATTACCGGTTTATTAAAAGACAAAAGACATTAAGCAAAAAGAATATTAAATAAACAGTATAAGTAAAATAAGACTATGTACAAGGCTGGCATTTAGCCAGAAATGCGCGACAATTTTTGTTAACAGCTGAGATATGGGATATACAAATACTCGAAGATGGTGACCATATGCGAACAAGGAAAACAGATTAATTGAGTTTATTAATTTCGGTGGCAAAGTTTTTGAATGCATTGATGATGACCTTGTCGCTGAAAAACGTACGAAGGTCACACGGCCATAGTTGTCCTTTGTTGTAGACAGCATCCCTGAGTTTCTTTCGTTGGGTTATATAGAGTGGGCAGCGGAAGATTAGATGCTCGGGGTCCTCTTCTTCGTTGAGGTCACAAGTGCATTTGCCGTCGGTTTTGTTTAGAAACCTCAGCAAGTAAGAATTAAAGTTACCATGCCCCGTTAACAGTTGTGTTAGCTGGAAGGTGGTATTGAAATTCCTTTTAGGACAGTCCGAAGGAGAAGGGAGGTAGCGGTGGGTGAGCCTGCCTGTATTGCCATTATCCCATCTGGATTTCCAAGTTTTGAGAATAATATCGTGCAACAGATTGTTGAGATGGGTGATGCTAATTTTATTGTAGGAGATATTAGTTGCTAAAGTTGGTGCTTTGGAGGCAAGAAGGCCCGCTCTCTCATTACCCGCAACCCCTGAGTGCCCTTTGACCCAGTGGAAGTCTATGTTAATGCCACTGTTCCTGAGGGCACGGATACTATTGACGGTGTCCCTTATGATAGGGAGATTTGTGTTGCACTTGGCTATTTGGTGTATGGCGATTCGACTGTCGCTGAAAATCTGGTAGTTGTGTTGATTCACTGTATTGTGGTTGTTTGTAATCCAGGTAATGGCTTCCAGGACATCCATACATACAGAAAAATACCTTATTTTCTCGCATTTCTCGACGTTTCAAGGTTCCAACAGCCCAAAAATGGAAAAATCTTTGTGGTCATTTTTTGACCGATCACCATATTTTCACATTGTTATATATAGCAAAGAAAGTAAACATACAAATTTGATATTGAGATTCAGAAGTGCGAGAGAGCTTTTTGAGAGATATTTCTATTAGTATTAATTATATATTAAGNAGGAGTTAACAGACGACTGGCACGACTCTATTGTTAAAGGAAAAGTACGATGTACAGGGGCAAGCCACTACTAATTTGATGTGTAGATCATATATTTTAAATTAAATTAATTAAAAATCGCAGCTTGGCATTGTGACAATGTCGTAATAAATAATTTCCCGATTTTAAAGATTTAATTTTCCAAACTATTTTATAAAATTTACATTTAATTTTGATTCCATTAATTAACATATATCAATGTTCTTATCTTTTTAAATAGTATTATATGCCCAAATACAATAGTATTCAAAAGGTAATATTATTATTATTAGCTCTAAACAAATTAGAGCTAATAATAATAATAATTGCTGTAGTATCATAGTATCAGTAATTGTTTTTCTTGTTTACATCGTAATTTTCGAATATAGAATGCTATAGATTTGTAAATATATGTTTTTAATTCCATGAGTTGAGTGTTCAGAATCGTTAAAAATATTTAAGTGCGTCTAGTACTTAATAGTTTTCGTTTCTAATTTCATGTTTTCGTGACTTATTATAGCACAGTTTCTTTTCTTTTTTTTTTTAAATATGATAATCATTTATTCCTCAATACAATGTATTATTATGTTATTTAGAAAAAAAGTATATTTATATTTTTATAGAGTTACGTTAAAATTTATGTAAAATGTAAATTAAATAAATTAATGCAAAATGTAAATTACATGTAAAATTTATTACTTTAATACGTGAATAATAAAAAGCATTTGTTTATTTGAGTTTATTTGGTCAATGTTATTTTCAATATACTTACAAATAGACATTTGTTTCTACAGAGAAAAATATTTATTGTTTTGAGAATCTTTGTGAGTTGCATCAATTTTGCTACTGCTTTCACATATCACATGAAATTTTAAAAAGATATGCTACGTCTTTTATGCATTGTATTCTCATTTTCAGATATACGTTTCTTATTTTGTTCTTTGTTTCCATTTTTGATGTGATAAATAAGTTCTTCAAAATAGATTTAAATTTGCAGAATAGTTTCACCTCGATTTTTTAAAATCTTATTTTGCAAAATTTTCCTTTTCTAAACATATAAATTTCCTCGTATTGCGATATGTCTTGGAATACATTTTCTCGTTGTTTATAATGTAAATTAGTTAGGCTTACATTATAATTTCACTCTGTTAATTATTTATATTATTA